ATTCAAATTAATGAGTGGTTTGTCCAGTGGAGCAGAGTGCACTGTGGTTCTTGGTTTAGTGCCATCTTACTTAAAGGCTCCTGTGATTTTTGGTCTCTGAATCCCAGTCTCCCATCTGTAAAATGAAGAGGACAATTCCCTTACAGGGACAAAGCTTTCATTTTGGTGCCTGTTTTGCCAAGGAGAGCCATGCAGGGATCATCATGCAGATGTCATCAGCTGAACTTGAGTTAAAGCTTTGCATCCCTGTGGGAATGGCTGGCTCTTCTATTTCTGAGTTGCCAGGGCTGAATTAATGCCACACCAACACAGAGTAAAACTGCTGTAAAATGCACATCTTTTGATTTAGTTTAATAACACGAGATCCAGAAGGTTTTGTAGAACAGGGAAGTGTGTGCAAAAGAGCTGAATCAGGGAATAATAAAAATACTCTGTAAAGGCTTTGTTGAAAATACAATAGGAATATAAAAAAGCCTCCTAGTACAGCTGAATAATAACAGTAATTAAAATCAGCTTAGCAGTGTTAATAAAATCTTTGAATACAAAATGCAGCGTGAAGGCAAAGCAGAGCAGAGAGTGGAGTGTTTAGAATTCAGGCTCTGAAATTTGGGACTGCGCAGTCGACAGGGATTTCCCATCTCTGTTCTGAAGGCCAGGATTTCAGCTGGGAAATGATCTGGAATTTTCAAACTGGATCACTGCTCTTCTTTGTGAGGGGCTGTGGGGGAGGAGGAAGGAGAGACACAGACAGTCCAGCCTGGGTAGAAATCTCCTGGCCCAGCCCCAGGCGGGGAGATGCAATAAAGGAAAGAGCAAAAGTCTTGGTGTTCTGCTCTGATGGAACTCTGGAGGGTTTTCTTATTATTCCTGTGAATATCTAATTGTTTTTAAATCCTTCACATCCTTGACCTCACTGACCCTTCTAGCAAAGAGTCCCAGATGCTAACAGTTGGTTTGATTTTAAAAAAATAAACCAAGCCACCAAACTGTGTCCTGCCCTCAGTTGAAATCCTTTCTGCAGTGAGAGGAAGAGCACTTCGTGGTTCTTTTAATTACTTTTCTTTCTTTAATTTTCCTTTGTGTCCTCTTATTTTCTTTGCTCCAGAGCACACAGAACCAATCTGCTCCATCCCCTCTCTTCCCATGGAAGTTTCACCAGGCCTCTAATACTTATAACAACCTTCCTGAGAATTTTGTTTGCTTGGGTTTTCTCATTTATTTTTGATGCAAGGCAGGAAGAATGAGAAGCTGCATTCCAGAGACTGATCAAATAGCATCTCAGTACTTAGATTGGTTTTGCTCTGTAATATTTGACTCATTCTGAGCAGTTGCTGGAGCTGGAAAGGTGATTTCCTTGGCCTTGGTAGTGCTCAGGTTTTTACCTCAACTGGTTTAAGACCAAGTATCTGAGTGACTAAAATCACTCCATCTTTACACTACCTCCTGTGGGTCAACAAGGATTTTAATTTCACATCATGTTCATCATTTATTGACTACTCTGAAGTGTCTCTAATGTGTCTCACAGCCTTCTCTGCAATTTGAATTTTATCATCACAGAATCACAGACTGGTTTGGGTCGGAAGCTCCACCCACCCTTGGACACTTCCAGGGATCCAGGGGCAGCCACAGCTTCCCTGGGCAACCTGTGCCAGGGCCCCCCCACCCTCACAGGGGAAAATTCATCCCAATATCTCATCTAAATCTACCCTCCTTCAGTTTAAAGGCAATTGTGCCTTTCAGGGGAATTAAAAAGAGGTGAAGCCAAGCAATGTAATCCATGCAAATGATTTTGCCCCCACTTCCTCCATTAAACTCCTCAAAACTGTAACATCCATTAGGCTGTCATGCTGCATTTCCAACCAGAAGTTCCCTGCACAGAGTAAAGAGCTTATAAGCCCACAAATATTCTTTTGAAGATGTTTCTCTTATCTTCCAAGGACATGCATCATTTTGAAAACACTCTGCTCAGAAGTCTTTCAGTTCAGGGCTAATCAAGTTGTGTGCCTTTTGCATTTTAATTCTTTCCAGCTCTCTCTCACAGCACTGATTCAGAGGGTTTCTGTCTCCTGGCTGTGGGAATGGTTTAACCTCTCTCTCTCAGCCCGCTGTAACTTCAGTGCTGTCCCTTGGCATGACAAAGCTTTAGGAATTCTCAGGTTTCTTTAGAAGAAACAGAGCAACAAGTCCTTTGGTCCAGGTGGTCTAAGGACTGTATTATTATTCTTCGCTTTTTTTCTCTTTATCAACTCTGACAGTTAAAGTGTTTTTCTTCCTTTTTTTGTAACTTCTGGTGCCTGTTGAACTGAGTTATCTTGAGCCCACAATGTCCTCTCTCCCCATGCCAAAGGCAAGGAGAAGGGGCACCACGTTTCCCTGCTGCTCTGCCTGTATTGTTCACCTTCCAGTTCCTCAGTGCCAGCTTCGTCTGTATTTCCAGTCCTTCCAGTACTTAATAACCAGCAGTTCCCATCACTGCTGAGACACCTCTCGCTCTGATATCCTGGCTTGGAGGCTCCAGGTTGCTGATCTGATGCCATCTCCCTGTGGAATATTTATTCTAATGTAGATTCACAGGTTTGGGAGGTTTCTTTGGGCATTCCAGTTATCCTCTCCCAGGCTCTGTGTTCCAGTGATGAGTGAAGGCAAAGCAGCTTCTAATCCTCTGTGTGGTTAAACCCCCTCCTGGCAGTGCTGACTGTCCTGCTGAGATGGCTTTTTAGCAGAAGCCCTTCCAGGGTGGATGTGTTCCCTGGGATTCCCAGAGGATTCAAGGCACACACAGGAGTGATTGTGAAGGGAGAGAACTGAGGGGCATTGGGGGTGGAGAGTCAAGATTGAGGGATTTTCACAGGTGGAACCTGGGCTTGTAAAGGGAATAGTAAAACTGAGCCCAGGTGAGATGTATCCATGGATGATGTGTCTATGGATGGAGGTGTGTCCATGGATGGAGATGTGTCCATGGATGGAGATGTGTCCATGGATAGAGATGTTCCTATGGATGGAGATGTGTCCATGGATAGAGATGTTCCTTTGGATGGAGGTGTGTCCATGGATAGAGATGTTCCTATGGATGGAGATGTGTCCATGGATGATGTGTCCATGGATGGAGACGTGTCTATGGATGGAGATGTGTTTATGAATGGTGATGTGTTTATGGATAGAGATGTGTCCATGGATAGAGATGTTCCTATGGATGGAGATGTGTCCATGGATGATGTGTCCATGGATGGAGATGTATCTATGGATGGAGATGTGTCCATGGATGATGTGTCCATGGATGGAGATGTATCTATGGATGGAGATGTGTCCATGGATGGAGATGTGTCCATGGATAGAGATGTTCCTATGGATGGAGATGTGTCTATGGATGGAGATGTGCTTATGAATGGTGATGTGTTTATGGATGGAGGTGTGTCCATGGATGATGTGTCCATGGATGGAGATGTGTTTGGGCACCAGCTCAGGGCCCTGAGCTTGGGGCAGAGGCTCAGCTGGTTTGCAGAGTTGTCTCTTAAGAACCTGTACTTTGTAGGTGAGGATCCACTGACATCAGCAGCCCTTGGGAAGGGGTGTCCATGTCCAAACCATCCTTTCCTTGTGTTTTAGGACAATCATACTCATTGGTAATTGCTTTATATTTCCTTCCAATATTTTTAGCCCCAAACATCAGCACAGCTTTTCCTTGGGCAAGACTTTTGAAGAGGTGCTGGTTTGACAGAGAAGTCCCTTGAACTGTCCAAAAGAGCCCGTTTTACTTTTCTGACCTGTCCTAAGAAGCCTCAAAAAACACCTGACATGTATTGTGGGGTTTTTGGAAGCATTTTATACCTTTTAAAATGTACTCTTAACTAGCCTGATGTTTTTAACCCTCTCCTAACTCTCCTTTCCTCCCTGTTTCTCATGCACTAGTTTGCACTTTCTTATTTCTGCTTGGCTTTCCAGCCTCCCTCAGTCCTTGGATATTATTTTTCAGGCTTCTCAATTTACTCTCTTATTAATGTATCATTCCCTCTCCCTCCCAGATGATTAATAAAGAGATTATATAAGGCTTGTGTGGCTTATATGGGCTTATATAAGGCTGATCCCTCTAGTATTCTTCTAGACAGCTCTCAGCTCCACACTTTGATGTTTGGCCTGTGGTTTGTTTGTATTTATTCTCTGTGTTTTTTTAGTCACCCTTCAATCTAGACCGGCTTAAATGGACTTCTAAGCAAAATTTGGTGGGAACACAGCATCAGATGTTTTAGTCACATTATATCTGTGCCAAACACGTGGAAGATTTTGTCATTTATAATAACAGAAGGAAGTGTGCAGTTCACCAACTTCCAACTCAGTATTTTGTTTGCTTTGGATTGTCCCTTTAGAAAATCCTCACCTAGTTTTTCCAGCAGCAGGTTGAAATCTGTGGTGCTGACCGTGCTCTCCAGTCCTGCCACAGCACAGTGTGTTCTGCAGACTGACTTGGGTGATGACATTTGCGCTGTGAAACCTCAGGAAACTCGGTTGTCTTTCACTCACATAAAAATGATTCAGTTTTGGGAGGTTGTTTTTTACAGCAGGTTTATGTTTTGGTTTTTTGTTTTTTGTTTTTGTTGTTGTTGTTGTTGTTGTTGTTGTTGTTGTTGTTTTTTAACTTTAGGGAAGTACAAAGTTGTGTTTTGGAGGTTACACATGAATGGAAAGTGAGAGGGTGGTGTTCCTGCATTGCACAGCCTGAACTGTGCTAAGCAGAGCTGTCCCCCTGGCACCTTGTGGGTTTTAAGCGGGCAAAGATTTGATGTGGTGGCTTTCTGGTGACGCTGTGTCTCCTGAGATGTGGCACTGCTGACGTGCAGCAGCTGGCCCTGCTTGTCTTACCCCGTGCCACAAGACAGATCTGTCAACTTTGGGCTGAGTCCTGGTCTTGTTGATGGAGACAGAAGAGCAGCAATGGGTGTGGAGCATCTCTCATTTCTCAAACAGTGTCTCCCACGTGCCTGGGCATGAGGGACCATCCCGTGGCTTGCTTGGGTCTTGGTGTCCAGAAGTCCCTTGAGGATGATAGCTGGGTAAAGAAACTGGAGTGGGTGGGTGGTTGTGAAGAGGGATATGGTGCAGGAAGAGCTGCATCTCCCAGTGGTTTGTCTGACATCCTTCCCCTGAGTGAGAGGGGTGCAGGAGGAGAAACATGGTGTTCTGAGCCATCCTCCCCTCCCCAGGCTTGGTGTAACTGGGTGATACAACGGGGCAAGGTGGGTGACAGCTGCTTTTAGAGCAGGGTTATGATAAATCTGAAGCTGAGCCTTGCTGTTTTTCCTCTTCCAGAGGAGGTCATGCTGGCGGAGGAAGACAAGAATGCAGAAGAGAAATCTCCTCTGGACGGTAGGTCCCTTTGCTGTGCTGTTTTCCTCCTGTGATACGTGAAAGGTTCAGCTGCTGGACAGTGCCACGGCCTTCCACTGTGCCCAGGAGGGTGTGAGGAACACACTCCTGCATGCCCTTGGCAGAGACGGGGCTGCAGAGTCCCTTGGCCCGTATCGGGTGCGTTCGAGGTTGCAGGTGGATGATGAGCAGTTATGCGACACCGCCCTGGGGTGGGGATCTGCCCTTGGGGTCGGTCCCTACGCTGCCTGTGGGACCACAGGGACACCTGTCAGCCTGTCCGAGCGGGGCTGGCTGTGTCCCACCCCCAGGCCGTGGCGGGGATTAGGCTGCAGAGCGGATGCCAGAGGAGGAACGCGCTGACCAGGAGAAGGCAGGGCTCCAAACCGAGGTTTTCCAAACGGATTTGACAAAGAGACTAAGACCCCTGTTAGCTGTAAGCAGTAAGACATAACAGGGTGTGGTGATCCTACCTTCCAACGTGTGACCCAGGCTGGAGGGACCGAGCTGAGCGAGGCCACGGGACCTGCCCTCCCTGTGCCTCCAAGAGCGATGAGCTCGTAGGACGCGCCAGCCAGTCAAAGTTCAGTTAAAGATTCTTCCCTCTCCCTTTTCTGACCATCTTTCGTCCTCCCATGTCTCCTCCTCCTCCTTTCCCCTCCCCCCTTCCCTTTTCCCCCCCTCTTTTTTTTTCTCCTCCCATTCACTGTCAGGGAGGGCCGCCTCGGAAGGGCCGATCCACCAAGGCACGGCACCGGCAGAGACTAGCAGCGGCAGCAGCTACAACAGTGAGTGGATTGCAAATCACCAGGGGCTCAGGCGGCACAGCGGGGCAGCCTCACCCCACAGCCCCCCGTGCCCAGGTCACCGGTGGCATCTCCCGGGTGGTTTTGCACCCTTTGGCTCCGGCTCCTTTCGGGGCGGCAGGCGCCCGGCTGCTGGTCCGCCTTGGCCAGCCTGGTGACCTGCACCTGGGGAGCACTCGGGGATGGAAAGAGCTGGGGCTGCAGGAGGTCAGGGTTCGAGGTGTGCCTGGCCAGTCTTCGTGTGTGTGTGTGCGTCGTGTGCACTGGGGGAGTCCATCCAGCACGTGGGTGCAGCTCTTAGCCCTGAGTGCCTGGAGGAGCAGCCTGGAAAGCTGAGTGGTGGAAGCAAACTAGAGGTGGGGACAAGTCAAGACCCAGGGATATTAAGGCTCCTTCTATCCTTCCAACCCTAAAGGAGCCTGACAACATTCCCAGCTTTGAAGCAACTGCTGGAGCAGTCCATGTGTATGCTGGTAAATCCTCTCAGCCTCCAAAACTCTTGCATCCAGGGTGCCTGTAGGGATGGCACACTGCTAAACACAAGTAGGACTTATCTGGGGGAGAAGATAAAGAAGCTGCTCAATTCATGCCAGGGAGTGTTGTAAAATTTTACTCCCAGTACAGATGACGTTCCAGTGCTGGGCATGGCCCTGGACGTGCTGGAGTGTGCTGGGACAGATGGAGCCTGCAGGACCCAAAAGCTGGTATTGCTGGGATTGAGGATTCAGCCTAGAGCTGGGTGGGGAAGAAAGGAGCAGAAGTGGTTATTTGCCAAAAAACCCCCTCTGGATCCAGATCACAGGCTCAGAGCATCCCCTTCTCCTCGAGCCTCTCCAAACCCGGGTGATGCTCCGGGTGTTTGGAAGCGACCAAAGAACCAACGCTTGCCTTGGCCGTGGAGGAAGCAGCACATCCACTTCTCTGTCAGGGAAATCCGTGTGTAGAGCGAGGGGACCTTCTCTAGGAGACTCCAGTGGCTCAGAGTGTGTGGGTTTGCTGTGTGTGCCTTCTGACCAGTCTGTATCACCACACCGTGGGGTGTCTTACTGCTGCTAGAAAACGGTGCTTAGTTACTGTATGTCTTGAACCTGTTACCAAACTGTATCAACGTATCTTTTTCTGCCAGTTCTCGAGGTTCTGCAGGTAGGTGGTCATGGGACCGGCGTCCTCACTGTTCCTGCCTCACCCCTCGAGCACTGGGTGGACAGTGCAGAGCTCTCCGAGCCTTTGAGGCCGCCGGCCTCTTTCCCTGTCGGAGTAAAACACTGTAGGGATGTTTGCCCTCCCCACAAAAGATGCTGCTGGAAGAAATGTGTTTTCAAAGAATTACAGCAGCCCCAGAGGGAAGGGATTGTACACTGGGTGCTATTAAGAAGAGGCTGCTCCCTGATTTGTGGCCGTTGCTTTGCACTGAGAATTTCTGCTCCTCCAGGCGCTGCTCGGTGCTTAAATGCTGACTCCTTAATGGTGCCCACTGTAAACAGCATTAATGGTTTTAATGGATGGAAGCACTCATCTCCTAACCCACTGGGGCTCACAAAGATCCAGTGACCCAGCCCAGCCTTTCTGCTGTGCTAAAAGCTCCAGCAGCTGCAGTGACTCCCCCACCCTCCTGCATCTGCTGGGGGAAGCGTGAGCACTCAGCCCATTCCTGGCAAACCTTCAAGGTCTGGAAGGTCAAACAACTGAAGGACCCTGACACTGAAGCCCTGCAAGGCTGTGGGTTGTCCGATTTGCTCCGGCTTGCCCTTGTGTGAGAGCTCTAAGCTGGCATTGGGAAGGAAATGCTGGCCCTGGAGAGTGAAGGGAGGGGGAGAGAGAATCCACTCTGCATCCTCACAGGGCATTTTCTCTTTAATTTGCACACAGTGTTGAAAAGAGCCGCAATAAAGAAGAGCAAAAACGACCTGATTCATGCAGAAGAAGGTGAGGACCATTTCACAGACATTTGCTCCGTTGGTGAGTACTGGCTTCGCATTCCCTCAGGTTCAGATCTCCACCCAAACCTGTCCATGTCACGTTTCCTCTGAGGGGCTCCTTTGCTCCAGAAGCTGCGGTTTCCAGAAGGAGAACCCCCCTCGACTTCCCAAAGCAAAGGGCTGCGTGGCTTCACCCTCTGCCCTGCTCTGCCCGGCTCAGCTCTTGCATGCTGCACCTTTCCAAGAGCCCTGCCCGGTGCTGGGAGAATCCCTGCTGTGCTGCCCATCCCGGGATTATGCTTGGAGCACGCTTCTTCATGCTGATGAGCCCCAAATCTGCCAAAGGACGCTGCTAAGGCTCTTTGTTGGAGGAACTGGACACAGTCCCGTCTGCCACTGACGCACAGGGGTGGGTTTGTGGCCTTTGCTGTGAGTTATTACTGGGCAGTGGCCCCAGTTCCCTCATTCTCGCCTTAGGAGAAGATCTTAAAGCAATTCTCTGCATTTTTCAAGCCAGATATGGAATGACACACCAGTGTGCACCCAATCACCCCCACACCTCCAGAGCATCCTGCCCTGTGGGGCGTTTGGGCTCTTCAGCTCTGCAGACCAGGACGTGGCCAGGCTAGGGAGGTGCTGCCTGTCCTTGCAGTTCCCAGAGCTAATTCCCTCCTGAGACATGGCCAGGTGGAGAGGCAGGAGGCAGGGCTGGGGCTGGCAGGGCTTGGCAGGCTCAGGGAGCTGTTTGGACACCAGCAGAAACACCTCTCAGCCGTGGGCTGCTCCTCCCTGGCTGGGGACACATCTTCCTGCCTGCTCTGCACTCGGGTATTTTGCTTCTCCCCGGCCCTGTTGTTGGAGTCTGGACATGGTTTTGCTGCTGGAGCAGCAGATGTTCTCATTATCTTCCAAAGAAATATCCTGGCACCCCAGTTACCGCGAAGCAGCAAATCCTGGGAGCACAGGAGCAGCAGCAGCACAAACAGCACATTTGAGAGTCCGTGCCTGTGGAGTTTTGAAAGCACAAACGCCTCAACTGCCCTTGGGAAAGTTGGCATTAAGGTTTTAAGGGATTACAGCTGCTGCTGGGATTTTTTTTTTTTTTTCTCCCTTTAAACCAAGACCTGGTTGCAGGAATTGAATGTTGCTCAGCATGTTCCTGACACCATCACCCACAGTCCCCCAGGCTGCAGGTTTTGTGCCTAAACTGCTGACACTTCTTCGAGGGGTTTGTCGCTGAAAGAGGGCAAAAATGCAGCAACTGTGTGCATTTTTGCTTTTGTTTGGGTTTTTTTCCCCCCTGGATCCCCGCATGGATAACAAGGAATGGTCATTTTTGGCACAGTTGGTGGTGGTTGCAATAATTATGAGCTCGTTGCTTTGCCATCCAAGCCCCTCCAGGCTCTGGGCACCCGTGCCACGCAAAACAGATCTTGGGATTCAGGCATTTCAGGTGGCAACGGATGACGGAGCATCTGGGCTCGTGAATAATCTGCTGCAGAGCTGGGAACTGTCTCGGGAGCATATGGCAGGGAAAATAACAGCAGTGCTTCCCCCACTTGGGAAAAGTGGTTTTGATTTTGATTCACGGAACGAGACAGAGAAGGAGAGATGGGTGAAGCAGCTCCTGAAGAGGCTGAGGCTCTGCAGAACATAAACAATCCCGTCACGTGGGCAATTATGCATAAAGAAAATGTTCTTGAGCAAAGGGTTTTTTTTTTTTTTTTTTGGCTGGTTTTCTCTAATGTTTTCTGGTGGCAGCAGAAGGAGGGTGGAATGAACAGCATCGTTCCTGAGTGCCAGGGGAAGGTGCAGACCAGGGGGGAGAGGCTTTGACAGGGCTCTCTCTGCCCGCTGGCTGAACATGCTGCACTTTAATTCCAACACAAGCACCTCGATGAGCCTCATAATTGCATTATAAAGCTCTGTAGTGCTAAACACTTCCCAGTGTGCTCTCTGGAGCTGTTCTTAGCATTTGTTCTTTTCTTTCCTTTCAACTCTCAGCCTCTCATTCCACACTAATAAGTGTGCAGCTGCTCTCTCTGGCTTCCCACCCTCCACGCTGTCCCAGACACAGGACACTTGTCTTGATTCCCAGACAGCAAAGCACAGAGAAGTGGATATTTTCTATGTTAGATTAGCTTAAATACAAACTGGTTTTCTTCTCTGAAAGATCAGTTAGAGGAGATGGGACTATTCCCTTGCAAATCTGGGAGTACAGAGTGGCTTGAATATCTGAGAGCTCTTTACCTGCTAAACAGTGCAGTCTAAATCCTAAAATGTAGTTCTTTTTGTTGTCTTAAAGCAGTGGAAGAGCACTGTGATTTATTTTTTAAACTGCCAAAGGCAGGATTAGCAAACTAACAGAAGAGCACACCAAGCTTTTCTGCAAGGAGTTTGTTCAGAGCCTGGCCAAGGCCAGCTCTGTGTGTTGGTGGATGGCCAGAAATGGGACATAGAGTGGAGAGCTCATGTTCCACTGGAGAGACATCCCACTTCTGTGGAGCTTTGGGGCTTGGAGAACCCACTGCTGTCACATCTGGATGCTTTATCCTTTCCATGGGTGTTGTGTTTGATGCTGCTGCAGCATGAAACAGGGTGAGATTCCCACCCCTTCCAAGTGCTGGAATGTAGGTGCTCACACCCAAAGATTTGGCTGCTGCAGCCAGAACACTTCGTTCCTGTAACTCAGCCATCTCCATGTCAATCACCTGCCCTCACACTGCCTGGTCCAAGGCAGGACCATGTGTGTCCTGCTCAGCCCTACCTGCTGGGATGCTCCATCCCAAGATGGGCAAGGGCAATAGTGGATTATCCTGCCACAAATCATCTTGGAACAAGGTCCTGGGGGCCAGCACAGCGGGACACAAGTAGTGGACAGCAACAATCATGATTTTCCCTGCTTGCAACAGCATCTGTGGCCGTTGCAGAGGAACCCCAATGGCTCCATGTGTTTATTCCTAACCTGTGCTGATTTGTCCTGCCTCAGCACTGGCCAGAGGTTGCCTTTTCATCCTTCATACGAGCAGCAGAGAGAATTTCTTCCATCAGCTTCCTATTGTTCAAACATTTGACTCCTTTCCAGGGTTTCAGACCGGAGTGGAAGTGCATCTGATTTAGGCAGAATTGGTACAAATGAGTAGCTGCACCCAAAATCTGATGCAGGGAGGCAGATCGAGGCCTCTGCTCAGGAAATACCAGGAGCTGGAGAGTGAAATAAGGAGACTTCATTCCATTCAGCAGTAAGGGCTGGCCCTTGGAGCAGGGGAAATTAGGGACCAGCTTTCCCTCTGCCATCTCCCAGCCCCACGAGGATGTGCTCCACCCCATGGGCAGAAACACCACTGTGCCCTGGTGCTTCCCGTCCTTCCAGCCCAAGTGATGAGTTTGACTGGGACAACCAGGAATTGCTCCAAAGGTTTGGAAGCCCAGTTTCTTTAGATGGAGGAGCTGGGCGTTGATTCGTTAACTCATGAAGTTTTAAAACCCCGGCCTTCATATCCCTCATGGCGCCATCACAAGCCAGATGCCCTCGCTCAGCCCGTGGCCAGCACGTCCAGCTTTCTGCTCAGCTTGGCAGAGGCTCTGCGTGCCCAGGAGATGCCCTCCAGCCGTTTGCCTGCCAGGGTGGGGTGTGGTGACTCTTCTCTCTGTCCCAGGGTCTCCTTTTGCCCGCGCCAGCTTGAAGAGTGGGAAGAACGAGAGCTCGTCCTACTTCAGGAGGAAAGAGAAGATGTTCCGGTTCTTCATCCGCCGCATGGTGAAGGCTCAGAGCTTCTACTGGATTGTCCTGTGTGTGGTGGCCCTCAACACCCTCTGTGTGGCCATGGTGCACTATGACCAGCCCGAGAAGCTCACCACTGCTCTCTGTGAGTACTGGAAACTCCACCTTTCCCCATTTTTGGGCACTCAGCGCTGCTTTCGCACCCCCTGGGTGTGAGCTCTGGGGGTTCATCTTCCCAAGTGTCACCTCAGCACAGGCTCAGAAATGCTTTAGTCAGTGGTTCTAGTAATTTATAAGTCACAGAACCATGGAATGGTTTGGGTTGGGAGGGAACTTAAAGCTCATCTCATTCCAACCCATGGGCAGGGACACCTTCCACCAGCCCAGGTTGCTCCAAGCCCCGTCCAACCTGGCCTTGGACACTTCCAGGGATGGGGCAGCCACAGCTTCTCTGGGCAACCTGTGCCAGGGCCTCCCCACCCTCACAGGGAAGAATTTCTTCCCAATATCCATCTAACCCTGCCCTCTGACAGTTTGAAGCCATTCCCTGTGTCCTGTCCCTCCAGGCCCTTGTAAATTGTCTCTCTCCATGTTTCTTTAGGCTTCCTTCAGGTCCTGGAAAGCCACAAATAGGTCACCCCAAATCTTCTCTTCTCCAGCCTGAACAATCCCAATTCTCTTTCAAATCACATTTCCAGTCATTCAATCACACAATTGAGAAGAATTCCCCCAGGACAGGGTGTTGGTTTGAGACGGGAACGATATCCCAAAGGTTATTTCAATCTTCTGATTCAACCAGATGTAAATCCTACAGGAAGGAGGATTTGTTCTGGATCAGACATAAAGGAGGGGGAGTGATGCTCTGCCTGGGGAAAGGCAGGTTGCTCTGCCCAACCTGTGTCTGCCCAGAGAACTGCAAATTGGTGCCGCTTCCATCTGCACCCAGGGGTGGCTCCTGCTGGGGACACAAAGCTCTGCCAGCTCTGGTGTCCCTGGGGCAGCGCCACGTGGGAGATAAAAACCTCTGTCTGTGCTGATGGAACCCCACACGACTTCCCCACAGCCTAGTGATTACTGGCACGGTCTTTAAAAGGTTACAACTTTACAGAAGATCCTTTTTGGTTGTGTGCCCTCCTCACTGACGGGCTGTGATTAGTGGGAGGGATGTCACGGTGCCCTCTGTGAAAATCCGTAAAGGAAATAACACCAGAGAGAAAATTACACTGTATTTGTGCTAAAGCTTTTATTTTCGCCTGTGGTCACCTGCCAGTTCAGTTCAGATGGTTTAGAAGTGCTTTTGAAATGTGATTTTTTTGTCTGATGATGAATAATAAATGGAGGAGGTTTTCTGCCCTCTCAGCCTTTACACCTCACAGTGTCTCCCTGGGCTCACAAAACCTGTTTTAAAGAAATGTAGAAGGTGGGGGGGACAGAGCTTTTTGTGTATTTTAATGAAGGTTGTAGGCTATGACTCCTTGAAAACTTAAACCCCAAAATGAAAACCTAAAAACTCCCGGCAAACTTGTAGAAATTCCCTGGGAAAGGACAGGGTGACACTGAAAGTGGAACACCACAAATTTCCCCTTCTGAAGGGAAGGGATGGGGAGTTCATTTCTGGAAGTCGGGGCCATTTGTTTGGCCACTTCTGCCTCTGTAAAATGGCCAGGACCAAATCTTTTTGTTCAACGCTTGATATTGAGATGGGAGCAGATCAGAATTGGTGAAGTAAAACTTCTGAAAGAAGAGAACAGAAGACTAGGAAAAAAAAAAACAACAAATATTTCAAACAGTCTGATCATTTCAGCTTAGATCTTTAGAGATACTTATCTGCCTAATTTTCCTTGATTTCTATATAAATTAGAGACTTAAATACTTCTTGCCTCAGATCCTCAGGTCTTACCTTATTACAAAGAAGCAAACTTTTGAAGTTTTTTTTTTTTATAGACCCAAAAGGTCAAGAATACCAACTGCTCTGACATCAAAAATGTCCTTATTAATATTTGTTGAAATATTTAATACCATCAGGTAAATGGAGCTGTAATGAGAGATGCATAAGAAGGACAGGAACTTCTTTCAAGTCTGGGTTTGGCTTTTTTTTTTTTTTTGGCAAGATTTAGACTGAAAAGAGAGACAGACTATCCAGAGAAGTCAGTCTTGCTTATTCATTACCTAAATTTACAGAGGAATTAATAAGCTAGATTGGCAGAGTAATTAGAAATTTGAGGATTAGGATTTCCTCTTGAATCAGGACTAAATGCCTAGGAAAAAACCCCACACTTGAAGTCTTTCAACTCCAAAAACTTCAGATTTACAAGACTCAGTTTTGGGAGCACCTTCTGCAGTAACTTTTCTAAGGAAACACAAAGAAATCCATGAGCCAGCAAATTCCACTCCATGTTCCTGGGAGAGCTGGAAGTGATGTTTCTGTCTGTTAGAATTAAAGAGGCACCTCCAGGTGGGAAATTTATCTGGGACAGAGGCCACAAATTAAGCATCCAACATTCCTCAGCTAAGACAAAAAACCAGGGAAGGTTGAAATGGTGTTGTGCCTGGAATAAGGGATTGGGGTGGATGCATTTTTTGGGAGCTCTGTGTCCATAACACCCAGTAATGTCAATTTGTTTCAGAAACACTTGAGCAGCAAACTTTTATTTCTTGGTGTTAGAGAGGATCATTGAGCTGAGAGTGAGGGATCCCACAGCCTTATATTTAATGGAAGAGTGAGGAAATCCCAAAAGAAATGTGGGATTTCTTGGGAGTTAAATTCTCAGCATCCTCCCAGCCAGAGGTGCTTCCTGTGGCTTGTCTTTTCATCACTGTGCGATGATTTCCTTGTAAGACCTCCTGAGTGTCCCTTGTCAATAAGGAAACACCTGGATGGGTGTTTCCCAAATCCATCCCTTAAATTCACTAATAGAAAGATTAGTGGCTGCAAATAAACAGTGATGGAAACAGCACTGGAACTGGGTGAGGGGCAGCACAGAGTTGGGGCACAGACAAAACCAGAATATCCGAGGAATCAGAGGGTTTGTGGATGTTCCTGGACAGGTTTAAGTATTAAAGAGGTCTTTAAATAGGTGGTACAAGATTAGTTGCTGGGACACAGACAATAAAGGCCAGAGATCAAAGAATGGTTTGAGTTGGAAAGAAGCTTAAAGATCATCCAGTTCCACCCCTGCCATGGGCAGGGACACCTTCCACTAGCCCAGGTTGCTCCATCCTGGCCTTGGACACTTCCAGGGATCCAGGGGCAGCCACAGCTTCTCTGGGCAACCTGTGCCAGGGCCTGCCCACCCTCTGATTAAACAATCTTAACATCTAATCTAAATCTCTCCATGAATGGCCCTCCTGGAAATCCTAACACACGCTAGATAATTTTGGTCTGCTGTGGGTTTTTTGTTTGTTTGTTTGTTTGTTTTTTTCTTGTTCGGATTTTGTTTTGGTTTGGTTTGGGTTTTTTTAAGTTAAGTTTTCTCCAAGATGAAGCAGAGACACCGTGGGCTCATTCTGGGGAGGATTGTCCTTGGTCTGCCTTATCCATAATGTCTTTGTATTACTGATGACCTGCAGCTTTCTATCCCTTTTCCTGAGGGAAAGTTTTCACAGCACCATCTTTGCTGTTCATCTCACCTTTAATATTGAACTCAGGGAATATTTTATGCCTTCAGATGTGTGGGACTTGTCTGGTTGTTTTGGTCAGACTGGACTTGGCTCTCCTCTCTCTCTCCTGCTGGAATAACTCTACAACACACACATTTTGAAGGAGCCCAGCTGGGGTTGAGCCCTCAAGGAATTCTCCTTGAAAACCCAAGATTTGTGCTCAGATCATTAGATACCAGCAGAACAAGACAGCACAAAACCAGGGGATTTAAACAGCTCCTGGAATACTTGGCAAAATCCTTTAACTGTAAGAGTGACAAGAGTTTAAAAATGGCTTTAAAGTTAATCCATGAGGAAAAAACTTCACTACAGAGGAGCAGGATTTGGCTGGTCTGGTGTAGAGCAAGAGAGAAACAAATTCTAATTGTGTTATTTGATGGAAGGTGCTTGGAAATGAACTGATGAGGCTTTTTGTGAAGTGCAGCAGTGGGAGAGGAGCGTGGTAAAGTCTGGGAGGATCCTCTAAATCCTGAAACTCTACCCAGGCACCTCTAATTCAATTATACCTGTCCCTCTGGGGAAAAGTTTAATTACATTACAAATTAATTTTACTTAAGGAACAGTTGGTAAAAGCCTCTGGGTCTGCATTGATTTATTTTTCCCTTGGTCTTTTCTTTTAACTTTTCTGTTTTGAATTGTTCTGATTAGCTTTCCCTGCTTGATATTCCACATCACTACAAGTGCTTTGGAAAAAGAGCTGTAAGGAGCTTCAGAGAGAGGCTTGGGATTTCTTTGGTCTGACTGAAAGAGCTGATGAGAAATCCTTTGAATTCTTGTGGTGTGATGGATAACAGGACATACTTTATGCTCTGTAATTATCCCCAAATTTGATCAGAGATTTTCCTTCTCTTGATTGGAAGGACGCCAGTGCCAACTAGGAATTCTCTCCTACTGCACATGGACACTGCTCACTGAGACAGGGACCTTTGGTTAAATAAACTACAGCTCCCTATAAAAGTGTATTTTTTCATGCAGCCACCCATGATTATCATCCAGAGTGTCTCTTTTCTGAAAAACACAGTATTTGAAAACACTTTTTTAGCCATTATGGCCTAAGAATGCCTCCCCTTCCCATGCAAGGCTGAACCATTTGTTTGGGGCAATTAGGCCTTTTCTGATGCCTTTTGTGGAGCAACTCTCTCCTTTTTTTTTCCTCCAACTAAAACTGCAGGGATCCTTAACTGGCTCCTTAATTTATGTCTGTATAAAACCAAAATCCAGAGTGTCTCTTTTCTGATAAACACAATATTTGCAAACACTTTTTTAACCATCATTGGCCTGGGAACAAAACTTGGTGTTTGGGGCAATTGAGCCTTTTGTGATGCTGTGGTTGCCTTTGAAGTAGGTGACCAGTTCCCCTCTGGATATCAATATGGAGGATTGGCAAGGAAAAGGCTTTCTGGAGCATATTTATTTGTGTCTGCTGAACATTTCACATCTGCTTGGTCAAAGAGGAGGAAGCTGTGCTTTGAGGTTCTCCTGGCTGGTTTAACGTGTGAGGAGGATGAGGAGAGGAAACCGAAGTGTCAGGCTCAGCACCTGCTTCTGATGACAATGGACTTCGAGAAGGGGCAGAAATGGAATTAATCCCTGGGTATTGGACAAAAAAGGGCTGGGAACTGTCAAATTCAAACACGTGGGGTGATGGGTGTAATGTGTGTTGGCCTTTGCCAAGAGCACCGATCTGAAACGAAATTAGAGCATTTCTATCAAACTTCTTCTCCTTAAATCACATCACAAAATGCTTCTGCTTAAGGCAGATTTGATTACACGTGGGGTCTGAATACCAGGAGGTCCAAACAACAAAATTGCATTTTCAATTACACAGGCAGGGCCATCTCAGAAGGAATTGTGTGTCTGATCCTTCTGCTGCAGCAGCTGATTCACTGAGTCAGTCCCTTCTGCCCGAGGAGTTCTCTGTGTCTGTATTTTCCTTGCCTTCATCCCTTCTCCTCACTGGGCTGTGATTTGTAGCATCTGGTACCTGCTGGGATGCAGCTCCTGCTGCCAGTTCTGAGCTCTGATCCTGATGGGATTCATCATCTGTGAAAGCACGAGTGGGGCTCTTTCAAGAGCAGCAGAAGGAAGATGCTTTTTCAATGTTCTGAGTTTTAAACATTTCCCATTGTTTTTATTTCATTTTTTTTATATAATCAAATATTTCTTGGTTCTGTTTTGCTTAGAAAGGCCATTTTCCAGCTCTTTTCTCCTATGATATTCTGGTTTTGCACGTGTGTTTGGAGGATGTGCCAGGCTGATGATGGAACATTGCACTTGCTGATACCTGGTTTTATTTAGCCTTCTGCTGGACGGGTGACTGAACATTAATCCTTGTTTCCTTTATCCTTTTGAAACAATGATAATTGTCTTGGCAAAGTGCATTGGGATATGTTGGTGAAAATTACAGTTAGAAAACACTTACAAGTATTTTTGTTATTGGAGGAATATGGGGTGTCCCTGGCATGTAACTCTGAAAGGTGAGTTTGGTGGACAGAGAAAAGGGTAAAAATGTCCTGCCAGACTGAGCTGGGACACATGTGGAGGCTGAGCTTTGTTCTCTGTAGAATCTACAACCTCTCCCGATGATTTTTTGTCAGCTAATTAAACAAGGCCACCAACTTCAAAGCATTGCTTTGATACCAATCCTTGGGACAGGGAGACTTCCCATGGAAGTCATTCCCATGACACCATTGGGCTGAGTGTGAAACCAAAGTCCATCTCCAGCTCTCCTGGAGCCTCTTTAGGCCCTGGAAGGGGCTCTCAGGTCTCCCTGGATCCTTCTCTTCTCCAGGTGAACCCCCCCAGCTCTCCCAGCCTGGCTCCAGAGGGGCTTCAGCCCTTGGAGCATCTCCATGGCCATCTCTGGACTTGCTCCAACAGCTCCACGTCCTCCTGATGTTGGACCCCAGAGCTGGAGGCAGCTCTGCAGGAGGGGTCTCACCTGAGCTGAGAGATGGATATTTTGGATTGCCAGCATAACTATGGAGAATTCAGATCTCCTACTCTGTCATCTTACTCCTCCAGTGTGAACACACTGCCCTTATATTCTCCTTTAATGACATTGCTTCTGCTTTCAAGGAGAGGAGGTGGCACAGAACAATTTATACTCTCCTGATGTTTCCTCCCCTCGTGCAAATGTTGGCAGAAGTGTCCTTGCAGGCTCCTCACTAAGGTGTTAATAAAACCTTTCTCCTGTAATTAAAGCTTCCTGGATTTCAGTTCCCTTTATGCCCATGATATTCCAGGACTGTCTTTCATTTAAGATTTAACCCTCCCTTTTTTTTTGGTTGCTAATTGAAAGTGTATTTGCCAAGCAATTTCCAAGGACACCCATCAGTGTAAAACAGGACCTGGGCCAGCTGTGCTCACTCCATAGGAACGTGCAAGGCTGAGAGTGGAGGGAACTCCAGGCACTTTGGGAGGACCCTCATCCCCTCCTCACACTCATTTCCTGAAGCCACCTGTTGCAGGAAGTCATGGAATGATAGAATCGTGGAATACCTTCTGTGGGATCCACAGGGATCATCCAGTCCAACCCCTGGCCCTGCACAGACACCCCAACAATCCCACCCTGTCCCTCAGAGCGTTGTCCAAACCCTCCTGGAGCTCTGGCAGCCTTGGGGCTGTGCCCACTGCCCTGGGGAGCCTGTTCAGTGCCAACCACCCTCTGGGGGAAGAACCTTTTCCCAAAATCCAGCCTAACCCTGCCCTGACACAGCTCCAGCCATTCCCTGGGGGCTGTCCCTGCTCACAGGGATCGGAGCTGCTTCCCCAGTTTACAAAGCCCTGCAATTCAGGATTATTCAGCTGAAAATTCCCTTGTTCCTACTCGTATCCCTCACCCCCTGCCTGTCCTTGTGCACCTTTGAGGAAAGTTTGGCACCATCTTGTCTTTATCATTCCTGGAACCATAAAACTGAAATTCCAGGAAACTTTGCTGCTCCAACATCCAAGAGCCTCCTGTGCTGAACTAAGAGAGGTGATTGATCTCCATCCACCCTTTGAGGTTTGATTCTTTTCTTCATCTCTTCTCCAGAAAGAGAGCTTTGCCTTATTCTCTTGTGGGTTTTTTTTGGTAGTGGAGGCGTTTTTTGCCCCTTTTTTTTTTGTTTGTTTTTAACATTCTATTCTTGCTGTTGCTAATTGGCCTCCAGATCCAAACTTAAAATGCCAAAGGTGGTATATTCTGTAGCTTCTGTAGTCCTGAAAACATCAGCTAGAAACTGAAGTCTCCAGCCCTTTGTTTCATCACAGGTGATAAATTTTTCCCATCCAAAGCTTCACAGCCTATTTGCCTGTGATATGTGAAGCCAAAGGAAACAGAGCTTGCTCTTCCACAGTTATAGGGCTATAAAGGCATAATAAAAATAAATGTGGTAACAGTAGACACAACACCTCTGAATATGAGCCCTCAGAGTCAGCAGTTCTGTTGGGCAGGGAGGTATTTTTATCAGCAGAGGATGTTACAGAAACTCAACACCCCACACCCAAAAGTGTCCATCTCTTGTGAGTACAGAAGGCCCAAACATACCACTGCAAAATGTGATCTGTGCAATTAGATTAGACCTTTAGAAACAGTAGATCCAGAGGTTTCCTTTGAAATTTCTTTATAAAAGCAATGAGAATATTATTTAATGCCATCCCACAGCACAGCTCACATACACACAGAAACTATGGTGATAAACTCTCCTCTGGGTCTTGTTTGTCACTGCAGAGGGATTTCCTCCTGCCAGGAGTCACTCTGGGTTGTGCAAAAACACCATTGCTCCCCACCTGAAGAGATCTCTGCCCACCAGGGTCTCGTGGACTAATTTAATCTCTTTTTCCCCCTTTCCAGATTTCGCAGAGTTTGTTTTCCTGGGGCTGTTCCTCACTGAGATGTCTTTGAAGATGTATGGGCTGGGACCAAGGAACTACTTCCACTCCTCATTCAACTGCTTTGACTTTGGGGTGAGTAAGATGAATCACAGGATGGTTTGGGTTGGAAGGGACCTTAAAAATCATCTCATTCCAACCTCGTGCTATGGACAGGGACACCTTCCACCAGCCCAGGTTGCTCCAAGCCCCGTCCAACCTGGCCTTGGACACTTCCAGGGATGGGGCAGCCACAGCTTCTCTGGGAATTCCATCCCAGCCCCTCCCCACCCTCCCAGGGAAGGATTTCTTCCCTCTCTCTAAGCATGAAACCATCCCGCCTTGTTCTGCCACTCCACGTCCTTGCACAAAGCTCCTGTGTGGCTCTCCTGTCGTCCAGCAGGTTGGGCATTCAAGGGTGGGTGTGGCAATCCACGGGAAACGCTGCCGGGAGTGTTTCTTCTGCGGGGAGCAGTCGTTGTGTAAATTAACTGCGGTGAAACACATTAAGCTTCCCCTACTTATCATGCTTTTCGAAGCAAAGTGACAGCTGGGGATTTCATTTCCTCGGCAAACTCCGGGGTGTTCGGAGGCTCTGATTGCCGGGAGATTCTCCCTCCCATTTAAATGAGGTGATCGAAAGACAAAAAAAAAACCAAAACACCCATCCCCACACATCTTCCTGCTCATCTCCTCTGTCATCCCTTTAATGGTCTTTACCTCAAGACACACGGGCAGCACTTTGCAGTGCCCAGAAGGAGAAGAGTAAACACATGATTTGTGGCAGGAAGGCAATAATTCACAGCCAGAAGTCCGGGCTCAAACTACAGCTCTGAAGTGTGAAGAGCGGGGCTGCTTTTGGTTCCATCTAACAAAGAACACGGCGCGGGGATGGTAATTTATTCATTAAAAGCTATTAGGCTGTAATCTGTCCTCACAGAGGATAACTTGGCTTCTCTTATCTGCAGCGTGGGCAGAGCAGGATTCGGGCTGGGAGGTTTCTGTAACAAAGCAGATACGAAGCTTTTGATACAGCCAGGGGCAAGGGGAGAATGGTTCAGGTCACTGCGCACGTCATGCAGCCCTTCTCTCTAAGATTCAGTCTGCTGGTTCCGGCCTTTGTCTGCCAAAATGCTGGGAATGATTCCTCTCCCCTGCGGAGCAAAACTCCCACGAGGCAGGAGGGATTCTCACCTTCAGGAAGCGACCTCTCCTCAACCCGAGGCTACAAGTGGAGCCAGTTTACTCTGTTTTTGAGGGCTGGAAAGCTCAGAGTCAACTGACTTTGAGATGAAACCACAGCCCCAGGGGTTACATGAGGCTGCCCCACGCGTGGGGGTCTCCTCAGGATACTGGGATGTGTAGGTGCCTCTCCCTGCCTGCCCAGCCCAAGGGATAAGGCACAGAACCCCAACTTTCACCAGAGAAACCAGAGCACAGTAGTCCCTTAAGGGTGTCACCACCTCGTTTAAATTCCCAAGTAGCAGGCACTCGGTTGGTGACTTTCACCGATGGATTAGGTTTCCTTGGATCCCTGGATTCCAGGATGCTCCTTCCACAACAAGACCTTGCACCTGGCAGTCAGGGACAGGCGATTTAGGAGCTTGCTCTCAGCCAAAGACAAACCCCCCAGTGTCTCTCTGTGTCACTCTGGGGTTTGTGCAGCACTGGCAATGAGCTTTGTGAGTGTTTTCCCGGGAGGTTGAAGCTGTTGATCTGTTTCTAATTCTTCCTGCTTCGGAGAATCCACAGGGATCCTACTTCTGTCTGTGTTTCCTCCTCCTCACCCACCTTCCAGCCCCCAGAATTAATTCAGTGCCTTCACCCCCCCTTGGAACATCACACGGATCTGTAGCCAGTTTAGTCTGACAAACCATCGGGATGAAACCACTCAAATGCAAACAGTGAGAGGACAAATCAGAGCAACATCAGCCTTGGGAGTAACAGTCCAGAGGGGTCTCATGTGAAACAGGCTCCCAGGAGGCCCTGCTGGGATGCCAAGAAAATTAATTACCAGGGTAACATGTGGAAGGTCTAAGGGAAGGGGTTTTGCTGATTCACGAGGGATTCCCAAGAGTGAAGAAGCTGTGGGAGAGAAGTTTTAGCTCCTTCTTTTTCAGATGGGAGAAAAGGGATGAGCAGCTGCTGCCTCTCTGCATTTTCTCGAAGCTCAGGGCGCAGCGTTTCTTTCAGGCATCACACCCAGCCCTGGCTCCCCGTTAACATTCCCTCCCCCTGCCCAAACCAGCTGCTTGCTGCTGTTCTGCTGAGCATGTTTATGGTGTGTTTTGCCCCAAGTGGGGAGCAGGGGCAGCGGGAGCTCTGAAAGGCTGGGTTAATGTGAGCAATAACAGCAATTGGCAGTGAAAGGCCTGTTTTATCTTATTAACTGTGCAGCAACCTGGGTGGAGATAATTGCCCTTTTCCAGCTGTGCTTAACCCATTGCTGCTTTGTCCTTGTGGTAAGGAAGGATTTCGCAGAAGGTTTTATTTCGATGCTTCAGGTTAATTCCCTGCCGTGCTTAAACCCACCAGCCAAAACAAAACAGAACTTAAAAAAAATCCACCTTGATTTTGGGACAATTTTTTTCAACGCCCTGAGGCAGCCGATTGGATGTGTGTGCTGGAGGCTTTGCTGGGTCTCAGAACAGCAATTGCTTTAATTGCTCTCCTAAACTGCTCTCAGTTGCCAGAAGTTTCTGGTGGATCTCACCCGGAGCTTCACTGCTCTGCTGCAGGTGAAGATTTTTAGTCCTCCTGATGGGCAGGGAAGGATGGGGCAGTGCCCCCCTGGATCTCTGTTCAGACCCACTGGTTGGGGTGGGAAAACGAAGTGTTGGCATTTGCAGCTGAGTCAGTGTTAAAAAAATGCAATAATAAAGCAGTGACATTCAAAAAAGGTTATTTTAAGGTAGTTTGATTGCTGGAGAAGAAAGCAACAAGTTCCTAACTGTGCAAAGGAGACCACAATGTGTTCTGCTCCCTTTTTCAGTCTGGACTGCAGAAAGCTGGGATAAGGATTTCCAGTGCTCCTGGGCAATTTATGATTTTCCTGAAGTTTTCCAAAGAAAACCATCCCAGCCTGAGCTCTGAGCCCTGGGCTCTCCTCAGAGGAATAAGCAGAAGTTTTGCCTTGTGTATATTAAAAAAAAAACCTTCTTCTTGCAGGTCATCGTGGGAAGTATATTTGAAGTTATTTGGGCTGCAGTGAAACCAGGAACCTCATTTGGCATCAGCGTATTGAGGGCACTTAGGCTGCTGAGGATTTTCAAAGTAACAAAGTAAGTCCAACTCCCTTTTCACTCTCACAGCAGGCTTTTAGCACCACCTGAAATCTGGATAACCAGCCCCACAATAAGGAGGAGTGTACTTTTTGTTTATATATTTATGTATTGTTATATATTTATATTTATAAACAATAAAATAAATCAATTACCAGAAGCTGGAGGGAAAAAAAAACAACAAAGCAAAGCCCCAAACCCCTGGTTTTGCTGGCACAAAAGCCCTGTCTGTCCTGATGGGAGCAGGAGGGTCCTGATGGGAGCAGGAGCAGAAGGAAACTGCAGATGCAGAACTGCCCCTTTCCTTGGCTGGGCAATGGGGGTTCCTGGCAGCTGGAAATCTGGGGAGTTCCTGAGCCTGTCTTTGCATCCACAAAGATTTTTAACAGCCCTTTTTTTCCCCAGCCTCCTGTACAGGCTTTTCTGCCCTTGGGCAGAAGGTTCCACAGTGTAATGAATGGGCTGCAGGAAAATACACTTTTTTTTCCTTTGTTCCTAAACTGGTTTAAAACAAAAATCTCATTCTGTTACCCCTTAGCTTTTGTGGTAAAAGAAACAAATATCTTCTTGACTTTTTAAGTCCCATCAGCTGCTTGCTGTCCTCATCTGCTGCTCCTGAAGTATTTGGGCACTGGAAAACCATCTACCCTGGGTATTGCTGGCTGCTAAATCCTGGTGCCTGAGCCCCTGTGCTGACACAAATACACAGAGTTTTGCTGCTGCCTGTGCTGTGTCTGCTCTGGGCACGTCTGGGAGGCTGAGTTTTCCCTGGAGTTGTGCTGCCACAGCTTTTCCCGTTGTTTTCGTGCTCCTGCCTCACATTAATGTGCTCTGGCATCAGCAAACAGCTCCTGTGCCATTTAGAAACCCATCTAGAGCCATTTCTGCAGGGTTTTGAGACTGTGCTGTGCAAATTGATGACATATTTAGGTGTTCCTGTTGTTGTTTTCCACCATTGCCTCCTCAGCTCTCCCTTCTTTCCATCACCCTCTTAATACTCCTTGGCTCGAAGTAGCAGAAGGAGGAATAAGAACTCCTGCCAAAAATACCCCTCATACACGACTGCCCTAAATAAATAAGGCCCAGGTGATGGCATTTGAACAGAACAATAATTGGAAGTCACCAGGTACTCTGGAAGCTGTTCAAAGGTCCAGCTTTTGTTGGCACTGGGGGGGGGGGGTGTTGCTGATTTATATCTGCAGATCCCAGATTTGTGTGTGATAGGGTGTCATCTGTTGTATTCTGGGAAAAAGGGGGTGGAAACAGGAAGTTCTGTGATTGTCTGGTAAAAGAGGTGGGTACCTGCACCAAAAATGTCACTGCAGTTTACCTTTGCACTAATCTCATGTATGGAAAGCTCCTGGTTCTGTGGGAAATTCAGAGCAATTTACCAACAGCAGATAATTTTATCCCAAGCTGAGATTTACTGTGTCTGATTGTGTGTTGTGCTTTTTCAACATTTTTGGCCATTTTTGGAAGTTAAAACTCACCAAAAAAATAAGATTTTGGCTGTTCCTTGTAGCCAGCAGGATGAAGGGATGAATCCCAAGAACTCTTTAGGTTGAAAAAGACTTTTAAGACCTTCAAGAGCCTCAAATTCAACTGTTCCCTCAGCACTGCCAAGGCCACCACTTACCCCTGTCCCCAAGGGCCACATCCAAATGGCTTTTAAGTCCCTGCAGGGATGGGGGACTCTACCACTGCCCTGGGCAGCTGTGCCAGGGCTGGACAAGCCTCTCAGAGAAAAACTTTTCCCTGATAACCCTCCCAGCACAGTTGGAGCCTGTTTCCTCTTTGTCCTGTTGCTCATTTCTTGGGAGAAGAGATTTAACTTAACAAACCAAGCCCAGGGCTCCCCCTTGCTCAGGACATTGTCACCCCCCTGCTCCTGATGTTCCCTCGACGTGATCATGTGGAGTTTTCACCTGCGCTCACTGCGTGACCAGCAGCCACATCCCTGCAGCTCCCACGGGATGATCCTGCTGTTTGATCCTCTCATGACTCACAAGAGACACCAAAAACGCTGTTACCAGGCACAGATTCTGCTCACACTCTCTCATTACAGTCTTTGCTGTGAGAACACCCTGACCCTCAGTAGTTTTCTGTCTCCTTTTTCCATCTCTTCTGCAGGAATTTGTCTCTGAAACTCCCTGCCCTGGTTTATTTGCCCTCTGTGTTCAGCAGAAGCCAACTGCAGTCCCAGAATCACAGAATATTCTCATTTGGAAGGGACCCCCAAGGATCTCTTAAGTCAATGGCCCAAAAAAGGCTTTGAACCTGACCTTGGTCCTTGGTGTTCTTAGGACCAGGTTTTAACCAACGGGGCTAAACTCAGTCCTCCTGCTTTGAATAATCAGTGGGATGAGAGCTTTTGATTCCCAAATCAGTGTGACCATGGACAGCAAGAGTTAAAAAGTGGAATTCCAGCCAGCCTGAAAGGTGCCAGCAGGATCCACCAGGAGGGGATACAGACTGAGAGGGGCTAAAATTCAACCAGGAGCATGAGGGCAAAACAGCTTCATGTGCTTGTCTTTGCCATGGCTGGGCTGAACAGGGACTGGCATCTGCAGAAATGCAGCTCCTTATGGAAGTCAGTTTTCTTGGAATGGGAGTGTAAGATCCTGCTTCTCCTGGGATGGATGTGGCTGTTCCCCAGCACAGAGGAACGTGAGGTGGTTCATGTTCCTCCCAGCTACACCTGAGGGAAGGAAGAGGGGAAAACAAAGACAAAGGAAAGGGGATGGTGACTCAAGCTCTGAGCTTCTCTCCCCATCAGCAGATCTGACAAATCCATGGGCTGCCTTCTGCTGGGGACCCGCAGCCACACTGTAGGAATGAGCTCACGGTGTGGATCCAGCCCCAAACTGCAGCAGGAGGATGCTCAGGGCAGGGATTCAGCTCTGCAGGGCAGCTCCCAGCACCAGGCAGTGGAAATGAGAGAAGCCAATGGAGAAAAACGAGGGGAAAATTCCCACCCACACCCCCACGGCCTCAGACTCCCAACTTGGAGCAGAGGACACGTGAAATGGCTCTAAATCCCTCCTTTCCCTCTGCCTGTTCCAACCCCGTTGTTCCACAGGAACCTGGATCCAAAAGGAGCTTGTCAAAGAGCTTCATAGTTCTTTCTTTCTGCATTTCCTGACTCATTAGTTTTCCCAATATAAACCTCCCTGCCTGTTCTCAGCAGGGCAATGAAGCCAGGACAGAGCTGTTTCCGAGCACACCATCCCTCCACGTTCCCGCCTGGGGATGTGCCAGGGGCTGTGTCGGGGCACAGGGGAGACAAAAAACAAACCATCTGCAGTGTTGTGGCTTGGATGTGTCAGTCAGGATTCAGGCTGAGCCATTCCCTCTTGTCACCTTGGAATTATCACCCTGGATTTGTTCTCCTCCTCCTCCAAGGCTCTGTCCTGAACACCTGAGGGCATCGTCGGGCACTGATGTGTTTGTGTGTGAAACTCCCACAGGAATGTTTAAACATGTGGGAATTTAAATCCACTGGTTGATCCTGGCATTGGATGGGTTGGAAGGACACACCACAAAGATGTCCTGGTGGGAATGAGCTGTTTATTCCTGATGTGTGTGTTATGGAGAGCTGGATTCACTGTTCCCACCTTCAGTGTCACCTTCATGATACTGATACCCTTTTGACACCCCTGCTGATTCGGGGCATTTTAGTTCTCATCTGGCTGCTGTGCTGGGTGAGAAGATGCCAAAAGGTCAAAATCTATCCCAGGAAAGGGGTTTCTGAGGAACTGATCCAAACATTCACCACACAGACTGCTCTGTGTGGGTGCACACACCCCCAGTGATCATCTCTGCCCTCGGGATGCTCCAGCAGATGTTGCCACTCTGTGAGCTGTGTTTTCCAACAGTAGAAGGGAGTTTAAAGATGCTGATATTCCCTGTCATTCTCCTCCTTTTTTATAATAAGAAAATCATAGAATCAGGTTGGAAAAGACCTTCAAAAGCATCAAGTCCAGCTGTTGACCAGCACTGCCAAGGCCACCACTCTGCCCAAGTGCCACATCCACAGAGCTTTTAAATCCCTCCAGGGATGGGGACTCCACCATCACCCTGGGCAGCTGTGCCAGTGCCTGACCACCCTTTTGGTGAAGAAATGCTTCCTAACATCCAACCTAAACCTCCTCTGGGCCACTTGAGGCCATTTCCTCTTGTTCTGTCACTTGGGAGATAATTCATATTAATTTCTCACCAAAGGCTCTTCCCCCACTCACGTTCTCTCTTGGCTGCTCTGATCTCCAACACAGGTACTGGAATTCCCTGAGGAATCTGGTGGTCTCCTTGCTGAACTCCATGAAGTCCATCATCAGTTTGCTTTTCCTGCTGTTCCTGTTCATCGTGGTGTTTGCTTTGCTGGGGATGCAGCTCTTTGGAGGACAGTAAGTCGAGTTATTCATCCTGGGGCTGCAGGGCTGGAAGGGTCACATCCCGCTGCCCTCTCAGACTTCCTGGGCTGCTGAGAAATTTATAGGCAAATAATTCCTTTTCCAGTGTTTTCCCTGGAGCTGAACTCTTTCCTAAGAAAGAACAACCCTAATCCAAAACCCCCTTTGTCATCCCACAGTCCCCACATACACGCAGAATGAAACAGGCCTGGGGAAAGCATCACTTTTTATTAAGGGAAAGGCAAATTCTTTCCCTGATATCCAGGGTGACAATGTATTTATTCACTTGGAATATTTTTTCTGCTGGAAAACATGGTTCTGTTGGATCTGATTATCCTCATTAGAAATGCCACTTGTGGTGAATTCTGCAGCACGAAATATCACAGTATTATCATTTCAATTCCAGCATCAATTCTGAAATGAAATAACACGGGTTTATTTGGTCTTCTTTTTTTTTTTTTTTTTTTTCTCTCAGTCAATTGCTATTTTATCTTTAAAATATTAAAAAGAAATTATCTACTAAGAGGGTAATTTCAGTTTGGGCTTTTGCAGCGGAGGATGAGAACTCCTTGGAACGGTTTGTTCGGCAAAAATCGTTTGAGATTTGGATTGTTCATTTTAATTGCAAATGAAATTCGAAGCATCACAATTTTCTCTGGGAATGAGATTGAGTTCCTGCTGAATGGTTCTGTTGAGCATCCTCTGAGAGACACCGTGTTCCCCGCTGTGCTGGCCTGGGGTGTTGTCTGCAGGTGGAACCAATGCTGCCCCCTGACTTGGTTTATGGGGTGTTCCAGGGGATTGGGAGATATCTGGGAGCTGCTTGGCCCTCACTGCTCTCCTTTTTATTCTTTCCTTCCCTCCAGGTTCAACTTCCAAGATGAAACTCCCACCACCAATTTCGACACCTTCCCCGCTGCCATCCTCACAGTATTCCAGGTAAAGCCACACCTTGGCCTGGGGGAGAGTTAGAAGAGAAATTCCTGGGCATCTCTTCTTGCTTATGGAAGGCAAAAATGTCCTCAAAAATCTGTGGAATTTGGAGAAAAAGTCCTTCCTTTTCACGTGTTTTGCTTCGCTGATCAATTAACCCATCATTAAAAAAAAATTCAAATTAAAAATCAATGCTACGGAATGAAGGAAAACCAGAACAAAAGATTTATTTTTTTTTGCCAGGAAGGAAAAAAAAAAAAATCGATAAACCAGATATTTCTGTGCTGTTCTTAAAGTCTGGGGGTGCCCAGGCTGTTGTCTCCCAGCTGTGGCTCGTGGAATGTCCTGTCCGTGATCCTGGAGCGAGCCAGTGGCTTGACCTGCTTCACTTGTGCCATAATTGAGTGAGCAGAGAGAGAGGCCTGAGGGAGCTCCAGGCAGCAGGGAAATAAGGCAGCATTTTGCTCAGTAATAACTGCAGAGAAGTTAATGCTGGGTGAGAATTGCCTGCCACCAGAGAGAGGCACCGGCCTGGGGCGGGTTCGGGAGATGGGAGGAGGAACTCACAGCTCTGGGGGATGTTTGGGTTTAAAAGGCTAATTTTGCAGCTGTTTTCTTCGTCTCTTTTTTTTAAAAACAATTAGTTCAGGTGTTTCAGTAAAAGCTGGGGGCTGCTGCTCCGTGGGCAGGTGACCCTCTCAGGTCTGTGGAACTCACCCAGCATTTATAACCTTGTCCCACACGAATTCTTGGCGTGGGCTCAGGCTGAGGCTTCACCCCAATCCCAACTTTGACACAGCTCAGCAAGGCTTAATTTATGTATTTTGTATTTCAGTGCCATGGCCCAAAAAGGGCAAAAAACTAGAGGGATTGATGAAAATTTTTTTGGATTAATGCAGCAAAATAAAAATAAAAATAATAATAATAATAATTTCATTTTATATCATTTGATTATTATACTAATTCTATACCACACACAATGTATTATATTAATAACGATTATATAATATGTCATATATACAACCTACATTATTAATGACCATTGCATTAACTATATATTATTATATGATAACAAAACAATAGCAATAGTTTCATTTTGATATTATTTGATTAGTATAATGATAATCATATTAGGTTACATAGAATTATATTGCTATATTAATAGTTATTACAAAATATATGATTATATACTATATATTATAAAAATATTTATTATATCAATTAGATATTATATTATAACAATAACATTATTAATTATATAATACATACAATAAATACAATAATATTATTTTAATAATAATTTAATTTTTATCACTTGTTTGTATTATAATAATTATATACCACACACAATGTATTATATTAATAATGATTGTATAATATATAATATACACAACATACATTATTAATAACCATTGCATTATATATTATTATGTAATGATGAAACAATAGAAAGAACTTCCTTTTGATATTATTCGATTATTATAATGATAATTACATTAGGTTACATATTTATATATTTAGGGCAAGAGTCGGTGTCTGCACTGTGTGTCCTTGTGTCTAGACTCCCTCTCAGCCCCTTGCTGTCATCAGCACCAACCCTGCAGCAAGAAATTCCCTCTCCCAGCAGCTGAGGACCAGCCTGGAATGTGCAGTCATTCCAAACCTGCACGTGGGACCGGATCACAGCAACACACGTCGTGCTCTGGCCTTTGCATTTCCCTTTTTTCGATCTCCTAAACACAAAGACAACTTCCTATTTAGGAGTTTGAGCTTCACCTCCCAGTGGGCTTGTTTGAATGTGCGAAAAGCAGCTATTTTTTGACTGTGCCAGGCAAGGGAAAGGCTGCTCTGCCCAAAATGTTGCTGTGTCTCAGTCAGTGCTGAGCAGGGATGGCAGGAATGTTACACTCAATGATGAGCAAGTGAGACTGGTGCAAAATTAGCATCA